AGAGGGCTGGAGGGCAGAGGGGGGAAGCCCGGAGGGAGAGGCAGAGAGGGAAGGGGATGGGAAAGGAAGAGGGGGCTGGAGAAAGAAGGATGGGGGAAAGAGGGAGAAAGGGAGTGCGAGCGGGGAACTGGAAGCAGAGGCAGAGCGGGAAGCAGAGAGGAAAAGGCAGGAGCAGCCGGGAGGCACCGGGAGCGGAGCAGAGAGGATGGTGGAAGATACGGCCAAAATTCACTAGAGAAAATACTGCGGGAAGGGCGCGGGGTGGGGGGGCAAAGAAGCTGTGGCCAAAAGTGCGAACAACTTGGCTTTGCGGCCCAAAGCCACAAGCTAGCTGATTTACAGAGCAGCATTCTTTGCAACTGCCTCTGCAGCCTCAAACCTTGCTTTCCCCCCCCTCAGACTTTCCTCTCACCAGATAAACAGTTGTACACCCCTCCCTCCGCCTCCCTCCCACCTCTCTCCACTCGGCCCTTCCCGCCCCCCACCTCCTTTCCCAGCCTTTGAGGGATGGACCGGAGACAATGCTGGTATTGAGCTGCCCGCAGTGTGAATACTCGGCCTGTCCTCCCCGACTGCCAGCGCCCGCAGCTGAGCCCCGAGCCCGGCAGCAGCGCTGCTCACCCGGGAACGCTCCCACAGCTCACGCACCATCCCCGGCACCGTCGCAAGAGAAGGTAGATTAAATTAATGGAGAGGAATAAGCCCTATGTTTTACTGCGGATGCCTGCCTGCCATTCCCCCAGCCTGCTCTCCTCTGCTGGAGGGGATGAGGAGAGCTGCTCCCAGGGACGTTTCACTAGCATAACCCTTCTGTGGCCAAAGCACAGCGGGGCAGGGAGGGGGAAGCAAAGAGGGAAGAGGTGGTTCGAGGGGGGTCCAGAGAAGCGGGTGCAAGAAAAGCTGAAGGAAACTCCGCTGTGAGCTGCTGGGCTGCCCAGCCACCACGCTGCCGCCCGCCCTGTGAGCTGCTGTCCTGCACGGCCACAGTGCTGCTGCATGCCTGTGCAGGAAGGGAAAAAACAGGTCTTGTGTGCTGCCTCCTGGAGCCTTATGGGGATACAGTGGACCCAAACTGGAGAGACATAAGGAATGGCTCTGTGTCATACAAATGGCTGCATGGGATCAGATCAAAGGTCCCTCTAACCCTGCGTCCTGTCTTGGAGCACAGCCTAAAGCCAATGCCTAGGGCAGAGCACAAGCACAAGGCAAGCGTGCAATGGTACTGCCCCAGAGCACTTCTCTAGTTTCCCGTGATTTGTGGCTAAGGCATGTACCCAGCCAGTGGCAGTGTCTTTGTAGTTAATGGCCCTCGACTGATTTTCTTCTTCCAGGAATGCATCCAGTTGCTTTCTGAACCCCTAGAAACTGGCCCCTGCAGCCTCGGTATGGAAAGGCCATGCTGTCTATGAGTACTTAAACAATCCCTGCATGTGTTAAAGGCCCACAAATTAAGGGCTAAGGTCATGACACCACTGCTCCAGTGCCACGCATGCAGCGGCAAAAGAGATGATTGCTTTGTATTCAAGCCAAGGAGTGAGCCGACTCAGACATTTCCCCTGCAGGAGACTTGACGCAGATGGCACCAGAGAAGTGGAGCAACGAGAAGGAGCTAGGGGGTTAATCCACACACTGGATGTTCCCAAGCTCCTGCAGAGAGAGATTTCACCTGACAAGGATATTGCTCTGAAGAAGACCATGCTGCTAATAGACTAGCAGCCACTGCTCTAGGGCGACAGACAGCACAAGGGACAGAGAGATGCCATCAGGCTGCTGGCGTCTCAGGCGATGGGCATCACCAAAAGGAAACCTCTGCACTCTTGTGACAGAGTTTGAGTACAGCTGAAAGACCCGGTCCCATATGAAGTTACCAATGATAAAAACACACCCCTCTTGCAAGTCAGAGTGTTGCATGGATCCTTTTTACAACGGTCTCCCACATATGTTTCATCTACATTTAATAAGAGCTATTGTATGTTAATTAAATGCCAGTGGAGTAAGGAAAACATATTTGTCAAAGATTAACTATTATGCAATGCAAGAAGCATCTGCCACCCAACTGCTAGAGCTCACTAAATATTTCCTTATCTCAGAGTATTTACTTAGGAGGCAATAACTATCCAGTTAAATCTAAATTTAATGCTTAGTTAAATATAGTTCATGGAAAGCGGCACCAATATGTTTTATACAGGGAACGACAGAGGGGGTTTCAGGGAGGAAAAACGAAGGAATCCTGTCCCCATACTCCGGTAACATCCTGACTCAAGGTGGGACTGCACGTGGCTGTGCCTCCCTACAAAGTGGGGAGTGTCACAGCAGACCCGGAGGCCCCTCTCTGCTGAGATGGAAGTACAGGGGAAGTCTTCATCTTCTTACGCATTTATACAATCCTCATTAGAATGACCATAGCATAACTATTTAATAATAATCATCATAATAAACAGAGAGACGAGGAAGAAATTCCCTTGAGGGTCTCGTAGACCTTGGGAAAAACAAAACAAAAACAAAACCTAAAGCTGATACATCTTATTTGCTTTTAGAAGCGTACAGAAGCAAAAGGAAGGGGTTGCCTGGGTATAAAAGGCCAAACAAGCAGAAATCACACAAATCCTAGGAGAGCGCTTCATGAGTAAAATAAATAATGTTATTTTTGTACATGTTCCCAGAAGAAATAACTCTCTGGACCAATCTCCCCCTGCTGGAAGCAGATAACGAAACAGCAGGTCTGCTTTCTAACTTTGTACGTTCTAAAAACTTGAGGAAAAATTCAGGTAAACAGTCAGAGTGCAGACATCACAAATCCATACTGCCATCTTTAACGCCATTTCCCAATACTCCCAGTAGGTGCAGGACTGGCAGGGCCAGCCTGACTGAACAAATTTTGTCACTATGCAGTTCAGGAATGGATGGGGCAGCATGACCCCAGCCCTACAGGTACCACATCACCCTCCTCCTACATAAAACACTTACAACCTGTTCAAAGGGAACATGGCCTAGAGCAACACCCTTTGATGAGCGCAGGCTGTACGGCACCACCAAAGAAACACTTGGATGACAGGTTTAGGAAGGTGTCTGTGTGTCCACACTGTGGGTACGGGATGGCTCTGCGTGCAAGCTGGAAGGAAGAAGGCAGCACAAGCAGACACAGCCTGTCTCACCTTACTCTCCCTGGCTTTGAGGGAAATGTGCTAAAGACATCACAGCCTAGGCGTCTAAGCTGGCCAAAGGAGACACCCTCCATGCTGGCCCTGGGTAGGCAGCCTCCACTGAAACATGTGGTGCTGAGATGCTCTGGGACTGGTACTCAGGTCACCTCTGCCTACCTGTGTGGCAGCTCAGTTTTAGAGATACTCAGGGACTGACATTGTGAAAGCCTGAAGTGCCATCTGCTTTTCATGGAAAGCCAACAGAAGCTTAAAGCATGGACTCTGGCCACAAATAGGGATGGGTTTTTTGCATTTGAGGTGGCTAAAAGCAAAGAGCAATCCATGGAAACTTCACGCAATGCCAACTGCAACAGCCATCTGTATGATGTGGATGGCTGCCCTCTAGGAGCTGAAATGAGGCTCATCAGCTCACACACACCACAAACTGGCAACTGTTGTCACTTGACTTTCATTCACTACCAACGACACCAAAACTGGTGACTTGTTCCCAAATCTCACTGGAATCAGGGAAAAGACATTTCTGAAAAATACAAGAGAACTGCTCACACAAGTCTCCAGACTCTCATGACCCACATGATTGTTTTTAAGGGGACCTGCTCTGCCAGCAGAGTCCAAGCATCTAGGGACGTTATTCAGGGTATCTGCAATGATGAGTGAAAACGTATGATGTTTTGTGAGCTATAACGTGTTTAGTCAAGATACACTGCTGTACTCAGCAGCAGAGGCTGCTCAAAGCTTCTCAGCCATGCAGAGAAAATGCAATTTTGTTGCATTGGCAGAGGAGTTACAGAGAGGAACAGGGAAGAGCTAAAGGGGTTTCAGCACCTGGGGAGGAAGATTAAGGGACTGTGGCAGGGGTGTGGTGATCTCTCCTTCCTCTCTTCCTTCCTCTGCCTGCAGCTCTTACATGCACACATTTCTGCCCTGCTGTGCAAGGGCAGTATCCCACTCCATTTTATTAAGCAGCTACATTTCACTCTCCTTTGGTTCCTGGGATTCAGGGAGTCACAGGGCAAGGAGGGAGAAAAGGCAGGGAGGGAGAAAAGGCAGGGCTAGGAGAGAGGTGGAAAATCCTTTGAATGCAGCAGGTGCCTCTACAGGCAAATTGAAGAGGAGGTGGGCTTTCAGTGGTAAATGCCCTTCTCCTCAGACTCAAAGAGAGAGGTCACATAGGCCATACTCTGCCCATTCCTTCAGCTACACCTGCCTGATAAAGTGGCCTCCGTCTATACCAGACCAGAGTCTGCTGGAAAGAGTGGAGAAATAATTTCCATGAGACAACTGAAAAGAAGAAAGTCTGCTAAGGACAGGATGCTGTCTACCAAACTTGATCCTGTGCTGACTGGAACATCGATGCCAGTTAT